AGTGGTAACCTGGGGCCAGGAAGCCAGGGAGTCGCTAGGAAAACCCCAGAGAAAGTACCAGGGCTGTTCATGTGGATTACTATATACCAAAAGGCCATAAGAGGAAATGAAGTTACTGGTTCAGACCCAGAGGTCATAAGAAAATTTCCTATTTCTTTCATGAATGTTTGCTTGATTTTGATCTTTTTTTTTAATCTTGATTTTTGTGTTTTCTTGGTATTCTCTACCAGTCAGTCATAACAACACCACACACTGGGTGCCATGACAAAAAAATCCGTATTTCTCATGGGCTACAGACTGGAAAGCCAAAGGCCAGGTACAGGCTGACTTGGATCCAGGGAAGTCTCTTCCTCTCCCTGGTAGGCAGATTGCTACCTTCTCTCTGTATCCTCAGGGCCTTTCAGCTGAACCTGTGTGTAGAGAGAGGCAAAGAGGAAAGAAGAAAGAAGAGACTAGAAAGAGGGAATTGGCTGGGTGGTGGTGGTGCACGTCTTTAATCCCAGCACACGGGAGGCAGAGGCAGGAGGATCTCTGTGAGTTTGAGGCCAGCTTGGGCTACAGAGCGAGTTCCAGGATAGGCTTGAAAGAGGTGAAAGAGATCCTTCTATATGACGACTAAGAAGGTCCTGCCTTCATTAAATCATCTACCCTCAATCTCTCCCCAGAGGTCCCATTTTCCACCAAGCCCTGGACGAGGGGGTGGAGCTTCAGCACAGGATCTTTGAGAGGATGCCTATCATTGCCTGGGTGACCAGTTTCCAGCAGTGCAGGCCTCAAAGGGAATCCACCTAGTCAGAGTACTGTGGCTTTTTTATCTGAGGGGGTTAAAAGGAAGGACACTCAGACACTCTCTTGATGGTTTCCTTTTTTATTATTCTTCCATATTCTCTATTCTTTATTTTCCTGGTGATTTCCTGTTGTTGGCTATTTTTGCTCTTTTTTTGGGCCTGCCACCCAGCTCCCAAATAAACCACACACAGAAGCTTATTCTTAATTATAAATGTCTGGCTTTAGCTTGGTTTGTTTCTTGCCAGCTTTCTTTAACTTTAAATTATCCCAGCTACCTTTGCCTCTGGGCTTTTCTCATTCTCTTACTTCTGTAAATCTTACAGGAGATAAATGGCTTTCTGTGTAGCTGGATGGCTGGCTCCTGGAGTGATCCTTCTTCTCTGGCCACTTCTCCTTTTCATCCCAGATTTCTCCCTCTAGATATTCTCTCTGCCTGCCAGCCTTGCCTATCCTTTCTCCTGCCTCACTACTGGCCATTCAGCTCTTTATTAGACCATCAGGTGTTTTAGACAGGCACAGTAACACAGCTTCACAGAGCTAAACAAATGCAACATAAACAAAAGTAACACACCTTAAAATAATATTCCCCAACAATTTCCTTCTCTCATTCTTGATGTTTTCCTTCTCATGCTCTTTATTTTTTCCCTTACAGCTTATATACCCCAGCAAGATCTTTCAAGCAATATAAAAATTGCAATATGGTTACATTCTATTTTTCAAGTGAATGATTATAATGAATACAAATAAAAAACAGCATGCTTTCCATATCCCTTACATGATTAAACATTTTTCACTTTACAGGTGAAAAACAAATTATCCCCAAGAACCCACATATATTCGTACTCAAGAAACTTGTTATAGATTAAGCAAGGAAGGTTGTTTTTTTTTTTCAGTCAGTTCTTTTACTGGCAGGCTGCATTTTATAGTTACAAAGAAAGGTCCAATCACTTTATTAGTTACCTTGAAAGGTAATCTTATAAGGAATCTTAAAGGAATCACAAACATAAACTTTTATACAGAAAAAACAGTCAGCTCCACTTTAAATCTTTAGAGTGGATACCCACTCATCAATATTTTTTTTTTATATCAGGAGATTGAGGGCAGAAATGGGTACAAGGAATTAATCATCATTTTAACAACCCTAGCAGGGAAAGTGTGTCAGCTAGTAACAATTGGGTTGCTTTGCATTTTTTGCCCTAACCTCATGAATCTATAACTCAGCTATGTGTCCTTGTGAACTCTAGATTGTGTTCTGGGGGTTTTCATCTCAAAGCTATTATCAAAACACCTAATCTCACATGAAGTTATTTTAAGGCTTTGTTTTAGCTAATGATGCACACAGAAACCTGTGACTGCGTCTTTCAACATTAAGATTAAAAGAATTTGAGCCAGCCTGGTTCCTGGGGACTTGATTGTTTTCCTTAATCATCAACCTGAACGGCAATCTATACAGCTCCTTAAGTGAAACTCATAGGCCCTAGCGGTGTAACACTTTCTTGTATTTATTTTCAAACATCCAAACTCTATTTAAAATTATTATTATTATTACTATTATTATTATTATCAATTAGACAGTACAGATTAAGAAGAAATCATCTTCCTAATAATCCAGAAGTAAAAATGCCCAGTAGAGTTGGATGTTTCCATGAGATAAACACACTACATCACAGGCAGTGGGAAGCTCCCCACACCCATTCACACCATGCCAGATACCAGAGAAAGATGGTTGTGGCAAACATGTGAAGGCACAGCAGAAGCAAAAGACGTTCTGGAGTCTGTGGTCTCTGGGCCTTGCCTATCTAAGATTCACCCATCAGGGATTCACCTCCTGGTGGGCTGTCACCTTGAACTTCGGCTGCCACCTGCTGCTCCTCTGACATGGCCACCAGCACACACAAGTGTCCAGTTCATAATAGACACCTCTTACATTTTACAAATGTTGTGTGATGCTCTACTCATCTCCTTCATGTCCTGGCCCAATTGCAGATGACCAGTTTTACTGTCATTATTGACTCTAAAAACTATATTTTATAAGGAAAATATTTTTTGTGTGTGCATAACTCACATATATATGTGACTGTATAAATATATGAATTAATTCATAAACTATGAAATGTATATGCACACTAATAAATAAGACTTGCTGGAAATAGCTGCTGAAAAATCTAGAGTTATTACTTAAGAAGAATTCAAATAGAAATGAAAATGTAAGATGATACCTCATTGTATTTAAAAGTATACCTGTGCTATTCTTTGTTTCAAGGAAAGGAGTTTTCTTAAGGTTTCTTTCCCACTCCTCTGGAACTAGCGTTATAGACAGTAGTGAACCATTTGGCATGAGTGCTGGGAACTGAACTCAGATCCTCTGGAAGAGAAGCACAGGCTCCTAACTGCTGAGTCATTTCTTTAGTCCAGAAGAGAAGTTCTTCAAAATATTTTTGAAATAGATTGACAAACATGTTGTCTCTGCTAATTTATCTATTTAATATATTTCCTTATTTCTGTATTAAAAATGACTCATTAATCATACTTTGTGTTGTGGGTTTTTTTTGTGTGTGTAGGGAGTTTGAGACATGGTAGCTGGGATTTTCTTTGAGCTCAAGGTAATCCCCCTGCCTCAGACACCTAAGTGCTGGGATTCCACACATGTGCTACCATACATAATTTTAATCATGTCTTCTGAAGGAGACTCATTTTATTTAGCAAATCACAGCTTTAGCTATTTTCTTGGGCTTCTAGATCACAGTTGGTATACTGTTTTGATTTTCCCCCTTACTTATAGAGGCCATCTGTTTCTATGTGCCAAGAATATTTTCAAAAATATTCTTTTCTTTTGCAGATGAGCCTCTTGCAATTTTAGTGTACATGCCTCTGATCTACAGGCCTTGGACAGAATGAAGACTACTTAGTTGACAGATTAGCCTGAGGGCCCATCCTTGGCCAGTCAGTTAATTCTGTTCCTTTGATGGAAAGAAATGAATGATTTAGGAATCAGTACTCAACCCAAGTAAGCACTCTGTAAGTCAAATGGCAAAGGGACTCGTTTCCTACTGTGCTTGTTGAGTTGGAAGCATTGCTTGAGCTGGGGTACATCTTAGTCACTCTTTAGGGCAGCCTGATTGGAAAGAATATGGAGAGCCAAAGCGCAGAGCAGGGCAGGTTTCCAAGGCAGATTTGAGCATCAATATCAGATCATGGCCAAAGAAAATCTACATGACCTTCTAGTTATAGGGTCAAAAATGTTATTTAAAAGGAAAATTTGGACCTGAGCTTCCACCACTTAACCAATAAGAGTCCCCAAGAGCACCAAACACAGCAGCTTCAGAACTGGAGATGCGTGAAACTGCGTTGCAAATGTGGTCTGACCTAGTCCTTGAGTCAGTCTGAAGATAGAGGAACTGGGGAGCCTGCATCCCTGCCAATCTCCTCAGTTGTGCTGTGGGAAAATCCCAGGAGGCCTGGGTTTGTCTGGGAGGTAGGAGGAAAGGTTCTTAACTGGTGCCTATTTGCTGTTCATGTCCATAGTCTAATGTCACAACAATCATATAGGTATCTGAGCCCATTTGGCTGATTTATTTATTTGAAACAGTTTTATCTATCTATATACTTAAAAAGCCATATAAAATATATATATAATATATTGAAGGTATGCACATGCACACGTACACACACACACACCACTTAATGTGATAATGTCCCTGTCAACCAACAGCCACAAACTGTCTCACACAACCTCACTGTCAGACTTAGGAAGGCTCCTTTAGAGTTGTTGGTCAGTGGAGTCGAGGAAACTAACAAGACATTATAAACTCCACCACATAGGACTTAGAGGAATAGTGTTGGGAGCCTCCTCTCTGAGGACAAGCCCTCATGGGACTAGCACCAATAGCGCGGTGCTATGCAAGCTGCCAAGAGAGAAAAGTAATCAGTAATCCTACCCAGCTGGAAAGCCTGCCAATCCCCCAAGTGACCAACATGATGAACTATCCCCAACTGTGCAATGGTGGCACTTGTCCCTTGAGGGTAACCAACAGCTGTATAATTGGACTTAAGACCTTACCAATAGGAGAGAATTCATACCTGGTACTGTAAACTTAGTCAACCCCAAGACTAGTGAGGTCATGGACCTTAGAGGAGAAGCCACTACTGCTATTTTCCTAAACCAGTGTAACTTCTAACTACATTCTATGTATTTATCTTTATACCCACAG